AAAATAGAAATTATATAATAGATCAGGAAGATCATGTAATACATACTGATAAATAAAAGTAAAAATCTGTTTCTATTGCCAGAGTAAAAACGGTAAAGATCTGACATACTTCCATTTTTTTTTACTAGATAAAAAACGGAACTATGTCAGATCTTCTAAAATACAGATTTTTGCTAAAATAAAACTGGATTTCTTATATAAATCTGTTTTTTATTCAGTAAAAAAAAACAGAAGTATGTCAGATCTTTTAAAAATCATTTTTACTCCAGCAATAAAAATGGATTTTTACTAAAGTAAAATCTGGTTTTTTGTATAAATCCATTTTTCATCCAGTAAAAAAAAATGGAAGTATGTCTGATCTTTTAAAAACTGTTTTTACTTCAGCAATAAAAATGAATTTTTGCTAAAGTAAAACTGGATTTTTGCCTGATATGTTCGAAAATTTTTTTTTACAGAGTAAATATAAAAAATTGTCCAATAAAATATAACAAACAAAATAAACTATAACACTATCTCATATGATATACTGGATAATCTGATAATTAGTAAAATCAATATAATCTTTGGTTAATTAATTCGAACTTCACTAGAACAACAACTCAAGATATTAAAGACTATGAGAAGACCTATCCAATCCAAGAGAAAAATCACTAAAAAAGTTATTGGAATGGTTAGACAAAAAATTAGAACTATCTCAGCCTGGTGTGAAGCTAAAGTTGAAACTGTTCCCATCAATCTCATTATCGATACTAGAGCATCTGGCTGTGTCACTAGTTATAACTTTCTCAAGAAACATGAAATCAAAATTCAATACAAGTTCAATATTACAATATCTAATATCAATAGTGAATCTAAATAATCTCTTGGAATGATTGACAACTTCCTAATCACAATTATCAGAATCATAATTTCTGCTGACATTGATGTTACTAAAGCTTATACTTATAGTATAGTAGTTGGAATAAACTAGCTAAACAAAATTAAAGCCAAACTCAATCTATATAATGTAACTATAATATTTGATTGGAACAACCAAAAAGGAGCTACCAAAATCAAATTTATTTATAAACAAGATTATGATAATTCAGATGAATTCTTTGAAGATTCTGATAATGAATTAAGCTCTAATGAAGATGAATTCAAAGAACAAAACTTGGAGAGTCATAACTTTCTAATATTTAACTATAAAAACAACTAGACAACAGTATAATCTCACTGATGATGAGTTCAATTTGAAGATGTAGAACCAAAACCTGAAGAAGAATGAAAATTGATTAGCACTTATAAAAGAGATATTAGTTATGTTAGCAGTGGAGACATGCCAACAAGAATTCTTAAAAGTGCAAAATTAATTGAAGATGTACAAGCATACAAAAAAGAAATTAAAGTTCAAATGAGAAAATTTAACTAAAAGAATATCTGACAACTTAATAAAAAATTCCAACAGAAATATAAATAGAATAGCTAATGATCTTTTGACTGGAAAGGACCAAGCACAAAATACTAATATCATAACTGATTATACACTCCAGATCAACAATATCATTAATACTATAATAACTTGGCTAACTGAATTGCCATCAAAAGACATAAATCATATCATGCTGAATATAAAACTAGTGATGACTGGACTGAAGAAGTAAAACAACATTATTTGAAGACTCAATATCTTGATCAACACTTCGATACTTTTGGAAAAGTTCAATAAGCAATTAATTCAGTCTTCAAAATTCTAAAATATGAAATGTATAGAAAATATGTTGAAAAATATATTTTCAAAACATATCTTACCTCAGAAAATGTTTTCAAATTGGCTTGTAAACAATGCTATAAAGAAAAGCAACTTAATCTTCTGTTTTGCTCATACTGTGAAGATTGAGATGAACTCAAGAATATGTATATTACTGACAACTATGAAAAATGATACTTCTGTATCTATAAACACTAATGCATCTTTTAATTTAACTATGGTGGATGACATAAAAATTCTGAAACTATTTGAAAACTCAGAGAATGATCTCTCTTGATTAGTGTTTATTCAGTCTGTAACAAAATTGAAAAAGCAATATTATCTCAGTATATACAAGAAAAAGATATTGAAAATGAAATTGGATATATTGAATATAATAAATCAGAAGAGGTCTCAGCTACTGAAAGCTTCTACTTGATCTATCAACAAATCTCTTCAGAACAATGATTACAACTTGTCAAACTTGAATTCATCAATATCAAACTTTGTGAAGACTATCTTATCCCCTGCAATTCAACTTATTGTGATAATTACATACAATCAAAACAAGTAATTACTGATTAACCATCTGTGAAAATTGACAAAGGCAAATTATCCATATATTCAATAACTAAAGAAAAAGAATTCATTCAAGAAATTAATCAATGTGTCACTGAATTAAATGAACTGTTAGAAGAAATTAGAAGTATCAAAGTTACATCTCTTCAAATACTCGACATCACTAACCCACAAGACACACTCAATGAAATTTATCAACTGTGCAAAGAAGTCCAAAACAAGATTAACCAAATGAAAAATAATATAACTTTTGATAATGAAAGTATCTATGAATCATGTGAAAAAATTTCAGATAAATACAATTCAGATGATATTATAGTTATTTATAATAATATTAAAACTAAAGATACCAATCTCACTATCAAAGTGTACAATAATGATAACAAAGACAAAATGTCAGAATGAGCTCAAAATCCATAGTGTACTCATTTTTAAGAGGTGGGCGCAGGCTTCCTATGTACATTGCTCTTGCATAGTAGGTCTTTTCCAACCCATCATACTAATACCAACCTGCATTTTTGGTATTCTCGAAATGTACATCTGCAATATGGTGGTTGTCATTGCAAAAAGCAACTCCCGTAAGATGATATCTATGTTTAAAAATTAGTAAATAGACAGAAAGTCAAAGAAATAAAATACTAAGATCTACTTTTGTGTCGTAGCTTGATCTTCTAAAGAAAAACTGATTTTCTCCAGTAGGTCTTTGTTCTGGAGATACATTCCTTCATCAATAATACTAATGCCCGTAATATTGATTACAAGAATCAAAGGCAGCCGCTAGTCGATTTGCCTTGTTGATATAGCATTGCCTGTGCATCAGTGTAAATTTCTAAAAAGATATTAGAGACAACACGTGAAGATGAAATGGGTAAAACATAAGAGATCACTTACTTGGTCTCTCCGGTCTCTACTGATATACACTCGTCAATTTCAAAGACATTCACGGAAATATTCTTTGGTACCTCGCCATCCGTAGTCTTGAACTTAGATCCACATGCAACAATGTAAGGTTCTTGCCAGTATTTGAGACAAGTTTCAAAGTAATTGCTTTCTGGTAACTCCAATGCCTCTGTTTTTCTAAAAAAAAAATATATTAATTAGTAACCAGCCTACCAAACCAGCCCATCCAATCCCAACTAGCTATTCTCTCCAATTCAACCAGTCTACCGAATCAGCAAATAGCAATCCCAACCAGTCTATTCAATTCAAACCCTCTTCAATTTTTATTAAAGATCTTGTAGCCATAGTGCTAGAACAATATTTCTATACACGTCAACTAATTTAATTAATTAGCTTAAGAAGATAGCATATTACTTATGTAAGTATAATATCGAAACAATTTGCCGGAGATAAGATCTTCTTTGGGCAGTAGTCTGAGTTACATACAGTTGTTATCATGCTTTTAACGACAAGGATATTTTGGTCCAAGGAATCATGAAAAAACTATTCAAAAAAATATTCTGAAAGACCTCCGAATAAATTCACTTGTCTTGTTTTTGCTAACTTGATATATAATGGCAGATTCTCGATCCAAAAAAGCTTGGCCTCCACCCATCATTTTTGTTTCATGAAGTCAAAAACTTGAAGAAGACAACACGTCTGTGAATTTGGATCAGCTTCAGCGAAGGTAACAGCGTGTTTATGAATATTTTTGTAAGTGAGGAACACGCTTTGAATGAGTGTGAGACTTGTGTCCACTGGGCATGTACAGATTAATTGCAGCTCACCTTTCTTTTCTCTGTATGACATCGTAGGAATGACAACATTTCCATAAGAATCTTTAAACGAGGAGATAATTTGCTTCTTCATCTATTGTTAATTTATAAACCTATTATCCAAGGAAAAAAAAAGTCACATTACCTTTGATTTTTTTTTACTGGCCCATCAATATACCCAATTATGTCAGCTAGCTGAATTATGCATTGCTCTATACTACCATTTCCAAAGGTAATATCCACAATGACCTTACTATTGCCAATAATTTTGTTGATCTGAACCTTATGGTAAGGCTTGTTCAAAATTGTATCTCGAAGTTGAATCGACTCTTCTGGCATTAACCAATTTTTTCTCTTATTTTTGGGTCCTCTTCTCTGAGATAGCTTGAACTCATTCTGAGCATGACCGTTGGTATCCTTCTGGTGAAGATAAGACTCAAGAGAGCTGCTTATAACTAATTCAACTACAAATCTATATAGAAAGTAAAGAGAAAAAGGTATATATAGAAACAAATCAAATAAACGAATGAGATTCTTACCTTTGTAACTTGGTCTTACTGTAAAAAAAAAGGTAGAAAGCAAAGATATATTAGTATATAGAAAGAAATTAAATAAATCAATGAGATTCTTATCTTTGTAACTTGGTCTTACTATAAGAAAAAAGGTAGAAATATATATTAGTATATAGAAAGAATTAAATAAACCAATAAAATTTTTATCTTTAAAACTCAGACTTGTCAATGAACAAATAAACAGCTACAATATCTTGGCAATTGTGACCACTGATAACATTGAAGTCACATGAGCAAGCAAATTTTCCATTTCTATGTGTAACATACAACCATTGTTTCTCATCAATTGAGCCAGTGGTCTTTAATTCCAGGCTCCTAGACTCTGATTCATTTTCTTTACTGGCATCATCAATATCAGCTTCCAATTCAGTAGTAGCGTACTGGATGACAACACTCATATTAGCAAACTGGGTCACATTCCAAGTGTTCTGATCAATCTTTGAAAGTGAAAAAACAATAAATCATTGTGAATATAAAAAAACAAATAAGAAGTACTTACCTTGCACAAGATTTTCCTTATACAATAATTTTTCTTGTTCATTTATTTTTTCTTTTTTTCGTTGTAACTCTGATTTTGTTGGAGACTTGTCTTTTCCTTGCCAAAATCTTAAAAAAAAGATTTATTTTATGTTTCGCAAAAAACAGAATATTTTTAGATTTACCTCTCCATTTCCCTAGCATCTACACGCATCGATGTACTGATCTTCTCAAGGTTTGAATGTATAGATTTAGTGTTTCTTCCTCAATAGTGTAGTATCATGTCTTTTTTGAAATAGCTTTCTAATAGCATATTTGTTTTCATAGGACAATCGTAACGTTTGTAATCTGGCCAGGTATCTGTAACAGTATTAATACGAAATGTAAAAGTTACAGAAAACAAAGTGTTTTTACTCACCAACCCATTTGCCAAACCAGTACACTTGAAAATAAGATGCAATAGCCTCTGCAGTAATCAAGAATGTACTCCCGATGGCAGCCTGAAACTTCTTCGCATCTAAGAGAGTAGTCTTTCATTGATCGAACTCTTCTTGATTCTGGGATCGCTTGATGAATCAGAATTGATAGAAGATTCGGTCTCTAAGTCATTGATCATTCAGGTTTTTCACAAACCATTCCTTAATTGCATCAGCTAGAAAAGTGATAATAGTGTGAAGACTTGAATGCATTACATTCAGTAAATAGCAATAGCATGATAATCACAACTAAATAATAAAAAACATAATAACACACAAGCCATAAATAAAACAATTTGAATTTGTACGTGTACATTTCTCAATCAAATCGAATCAATCAAATTTCTTTCATGTGATCAAGTTTCTGAATTCTGTATATCATCACTAAACAATTATTTCTCAAAGTGCATTATCTAAACTTTATCCAAAAAAAACAATAAAAAACTCATCTTCATGCCAATCACACAATACGATCTGTGTATTAGGAAAGTGTTTTCTAGCTGCTGTCAAGTAAGATTCCCATTTGTCCATAGTTAACCATTTAGAATTCAATTGGATGTCATTTTTAATACTATATTTAATAAACTTCAAATCGTCATATTTATAGCATGATCTGACAAATAATCATTTAGTAAAATAAACTGA